ATGCAAGATCCACCCTTGTGCTAACCATTGCATACATAAGTGAGCCCACTACTACCTTGTATAGAATACCTTGCATTTCACCTTCAACTTCAGCAAACTCTTCATCCGTGAGCTTCATCAATTTCAAGTTTGCTTCCAATGGTGTTTTAATAGGCTTACACTCTTCCAAGTTGAATCATTTTAACATTCCTTTAATGTACTTGCTTTGGCTCATTGTAATGGCCTTCTTAGCACGATCTCTTACAAATTCTATTCCTAAACAATAATGAAGCTCTCCCAAATCACTCATTTCATACTCCTTTTCTAACTTTACCTTCAACCAATCCATCATCTTCAATGTATTGGTTAAGATGATCAAATCATTAACATAGAGGATGACAATCAATATGAACCTATTTGATTGCATTACATATAAGGAATGATTAACTTCACTCCTTACAAATCCTTCACTTACAAAGAATGTATCAATGCATTGGTATCATGTCCTTGGTGATTGCTTTAGCCCATACGAGGATTTCTTCAACTTACAAACAAAGTGTTGTTTGCCTTCTTCAACAAATCCTTGAGGTTGCTCCATGTACATGTCTTCTTCCAAACTTCCATTCAAGAAAGCTATCTTCACATCCATTTGATGTATCTCCAAGTCCAATGTTGCTTCAATTGTCACAATGGTTCTAATGGTGGTGAATTTGGCCATGGGAACAAATTTGTCATTGAAATCTACACTAGCAACTTGTGAGTAGCCTTTAGCAATCAATCTAGACTTGTATCTCGCAATATTGTCCACTGCATCCCTTTTGGTTCTAAACACCCACTTACAACCAATTGAAGATTGATTTAGTGGAAGTTGAGTCAATTTCCATATTCCATTGTCCATGAGTGATTTGTACTCTTATTCCATAGCATTCTCCTACTTCAACGCATCCGTGGACTTTATTGCATCACATAAACTCAATGGATCAGCAAGAAGTGCAACATTGGCATGTTCTTCACTTACTTGAGAAAAGATGTGGTCCTTCTACCATTCACTATATGGTTTTCTTTCTCTCAAAGGATATCTCCTTTCATTTGAAGAAGACCCTTCTTCTTGTATTCCATCTTCTCTTCCAACCTTCTTCTTCCTCAATGCTTGTCTTTTCTCACTCAAAAGTTGATATTCTTTATCATCATCATCATCACCTTCAATATTTTCATTGTCTTCATTGTTGGTTCTAGCAATTGAAGGCACACTATGATTTATCTTCTTTGGCACTTGATCTTGACTTCTATTTCATCCATCTTCATTGTCAACATCATCTTCTTGTTTTTTCTTTGCTGAACTTGAAGATGTGTCCACAAACACACCTTTACTCCCACTTGGACACTCTTCCAAGTGCTCAAAAGTACTCTTATGCTCCAAAAACTCTACATTACGATTTTTGATGATCTTTTTGGTTTCTAAACACATTAGCCTATAAGCTTTGGTACCTTCACAATATCCAAAAAATACACATTTTGTACTTTTTGCATCAAGTTTGGACCTCATACAATCTGGTACCTTTGCATAAGTAATGCATCCAAAAATCTTCATATATGAAATACAAGGTTTCTTCCAATTCCAAGCTTCTTCTGGAGTCATTGATGTAAGTGTACTTGTAGGGCACCTATTCCTTGTGTATATCGCATTTACCACAGCTTCCGTCCAATACTCATACTCAAGGTTTTGTATATGAAGCATACTCCTTGCCATCTCTATAATGGTCTAATTTGATCTTTCAGCAACTCTATTTTATTGTGGAGTGTAACGAGTAGAAGTTTGTCTTGCAATACCTTGAATCTTTATAAATTCATCAAAATGCTTTGACATGTATTCACCTCCATTGTCCATTCTCAACACTTTGATCTTACACTCACATTGTTTCTCTACAAGAGCCTTAAACTCTTTAAACCTTGAGAAACATTCACTTTTAGCTTTAATGATGTAAATCCACATCTTTCTTGAAAAGCCATCTATGAATGTGACAAAGTACCTTGCTCATCTAATTGATGGTGTCTTAATTGGTCCACAAACATCAGAGTACATAATCTCCAACAATTTAGTTGCACGTGTTGTAAATCCACTTGGAAATGAAGCCCTTTGTTATTTGCCTTGTATATATCCTTCACAAGTAAGTGTCATGGCATTGTGGCTGAATTGACCAAGATCCAAGCCACTTACTATGGATTGGAGCTCCTTCATGCATTTGGCATTCAAATGACTAAGTCATTGATGCCAAATTCTAAACTTATCTTGCTCTTGTGGAAAATCAGCAAATGCTGCCACTTCAACTCTATTCACCTTCTTGTAATTGATGAAGTAGAGATTTCCATCCCTAAGGCCTTTGGCAACATGTTGGCCATCCAATGTCTTGACAAAACATCTATTCATATCAAATTGAACCTTACAACCATGTGATACAAGTTTGCTCACCGAAAAGAGGTTCTTCTTCATTTCTGGCACATGTAGGACTTCCTTCAATGTGATCGTCTTGATTTGGTCCTTCACAACAATCTCTACCACAATGGAGCCAATTTCAATGGCTTGTACTATGCCATTGTCTCCCAACCACACTTTTGTTGCTGAAATTTCTTGATAAGTGTCAAATGAACACTTATATGGTGTCATGTGCTTAGTAATACCTGAATCTACAATCCACTTCGAAATAACAGCTATGGAGGCTTCTTTCCTTGCCATGAAAGAATACTCATCTCCACCAAAACTATCACTAGCATTGTTTGCATTCTCTCTATCTCTTTTCTTAGCCTTGTAGCAATTTCTAGCAAAATGACTTAGTTTTCCACAAATATAGCAATTCCTCATATTACTTTTTGAATTATCACATTGGTGAGAATAGCTACCTTTGTCTTGTCTTGAAAATAGAACTGAATCATCACTTGCAAGCTTCTTTTCTTTCCTCTTAGTCACTTCATGGGCAACTCTTGATGTGACATAGTTCATTGTAAGTTCCTTTATGTTGATGGATTCCAATGCCATAATGAAGTAGTTGTAGGATTCAGAAAGGCTTATGAGCAATGTCAACACAATGTCTTTATCATCAACTGGTTTATCAACAACTGCTAGTTGGTTAGCAAGTGGTTTTACCTTGTTAACATGAGCCATGAGGTCATCTCCTTCTTCCATCTTTACTATCAAAAACTTCTTCTTTGTCCAAAGGATGTTGGCAAGGTTTCTACTCTCATAGATGTTACAAAGAGTCTTCCATGCTTTCAGTGGTTCATTATAAGCTATAACATGTGAAAAGTTGGCATCATCAAGGTTTATTGCAATCATCCCAAAAGCCTTCCTTTTACGACATTTGTACTCTTTCTTCACCTTAATATCAACATTGTTACTTGGAGGGTCTTCACTTTCATCAACAATGTCCCAAAGGTCCAATGAAGCAAACAAAAGCTCCATTTTCTTCTTCTAATGGTAAAAGTTGTCACCTTTAAACTTTTCATTCACTTTCAAGCTCTCACCTTCACTTGAAGCCATATCTAAGGAAGGGATGTGTGAAAGAAAATAAAAAAAAGAAAAGATAGAACTATCAAAATCAACAAGAAGGTGTTACTACCTTAGAAATCCAGAATGCCCTCTTTGTAATTATACAAGTGATTTCACTCTTGTATCACTCTCAAATTCACATATAAGACTTCTTACAAGTCTTATACTCTATCTAAATCTCTTGCATAAGCTTTGCCACTCTTCAATCATCCTTTTTTTTTTTCACAAAATACTTCTAACTACACAAAACACTTCTTATAACAATAGGAGAATCTCTTACGAAGTTAAGTATATGAAAGCACAAAGTTAGAGCACCAATGATGAAACTCAACAAAGAAATACAATACTAAAGTTCTAAAACATCATTATTTGGAGTCTAACAACAACCAAGACTATCAATGCACTCAACAACAAGTAAGAGCAAAAACTACATCAACAATTAGATGCATAAGAAGGATTAGAAGAGAGCAAACTTAAACTTCAGCAACAACCATAAGATCTATTCCTTACAACAAGAAAGACTTCAAAGTACTTCAAAATTCACAAGTAATGGTGAATGGGCCCATAACATATTGAAGAACAAGCACTTTGAAGACACAACACTTAACATCAGCAAGGTTGTACACAAAGAGAGTATGAAGTAAGATATCTCTCACTTCTAATATCTATTACTTATAGGTAGTGGTTGCTACCCTAAAAGACAACTTCCACTCTTTGACTTTTACACACATGGCCCTAGGATCCATTTGGCATCTCATGAGCTTCAAGGATATCCTATAACATACACTAATGACTCATACGTAGTCTTTGGATATTCCCTTGTTAATACTTTATCCTTTTGACTTTGACTCTTAGTCCATGACTTCGTCCTATATCCATTCGATACCCTTTTTATATACCAAGAGTCAAATCTTTGACCACTAGCAACTTACTTAAGTTAATATCCTCTATAAGGTAACTTATTCTACTTTTACATTAACACTAACAGATCTAGTCGGGGAAACTAAGGTGTTGTGTAGGAATGATGATGGTTCTGGCAGCGATGGAGAAAGCTACTTGCACAAGAATTTCTGAGGGTTGCGGAGGGAGCATTCTCTAAGCTATGACTCAGTTGGTACAATGTACAATGTCCTTGGGAGTGCTCTACATGTGGGTCGATTCCATTTGTCTCGACCAGTGCAATGCTGAAAGCATGGCCTTCGAGATCGGGCGGATGTACTCCTATTACAAGAATTCTTATTGCAAAATTGTGTGCCTAAATGGGTTCGGCAAGCAGACCAACCTTGGGGAGATCGGGCGGATGTACTCCTATTACAAGAATTCTTATTGCAAAATTGTGTGCCTAAATGGGTTCGGCAAGCAGACCAACCTTGGGGAGTGGCCAAGGACTGTGGCAACATGGTTCAGTCGTATGTGGACTTTGCAGGAGGGACTCGCTTGCCATAAGGTTTACTTCATAGCGGCCCTTGTCACCAGCATTCTCGCAAGAGTAGTGACAGAAGTGATGGCAAGTCTGAAACAGGATGATACCATCCATCACTTATTAACAACTTCGCTGATTCAGCAGGTTCATAGTACCGGAGATATTCACCAAGTGACTTCTAACGTTCCTAAACGAGCCAAATTATACGAGCAGCTGTGCGCTCGCCTTCCATGTTGCTGCTGCTCAGTGCAGCGTTCCGCGTACTACAATGTGGATGAGAGGGACCTATGCATGCAACAGATGCACTTTCAGAGTCACTTGTACAGTTGGCAGCAGGTCCTTCTTATATCTAGGTGGGCTGTGCTCATCACATGCACGACAGATGTGAAGGACGCCTCGATTGCCTTCGAATCCCTAGAAGCTGCTTACAATTTCGGATTGTGCCGTCGGGCTGAGCGGTCGCTTGAAGTGATCGAGGTCCTCGAGGAAGTGTGTAAGAGGAGCTGCTCTTATCCAGAAGATCGAGTGTTGGCAGTGCTTGGAATGCTGGGCATTGGGGTTACCACGACACTGCGCTCTGGTTTATCATTGTATGACCAAATAAAGTGGCTCTGTGGTGTTGCCCCGCCCAAAATGAGACATGCTCTTATTGTCAAAAACTGTATCGACATGTATCCGAGCATGCCGGGGTCATCTTGGATGCCGGATTTATGTCGTCCTGGAACAGGATGGATGAGTCAGACTTTAGAATCACCCATAGGCGAGTGGGCCTATGATGTCGAGACTAACAGAGTCACTGGCAAAGCGCAGAATCCTTTCTCAGTGATCATAAACAAGGTTGAGGAAAAGGATGCTGGGCAAATACAGTCGGAGATGCTTTTGGAGTTGCAAGAGCAGCGTTTGGAACACGAATTCGATGTTTCATGGTGGACCATAACGTTGTCCTTTGTGCCTCCTGTAGATCCACCTGACAATGTGGTCACTGTTGAGGTGTTGTGTGCAGTGAATACAAACAAGTCCGGAGAAGTCTGGGGTACTGAATGTTGTTGGGTGAATGGCTACAATGGGGGAGCCCTCGATATTGCCGACATAGTTGGTAGCAGTAATCTGGAAAACTGGCAGGCCGCCATTGCGAACCAATCCCTTGTAGGTTTGCCTGTTATAGAGGACCTCGTGGAGAGGGAGGGGCAGCCATCTGCATACGATGTAGGTGTCCTGCTGTGCACTGGGACTGAAGAACTGTTGCACAAAGTAGGAGGATTACTGATATATTCTAGCACGGCAAGAGAGGTGGCAAGCCTCATGTACAGGCACAGGCAAGCCAACCCTGGGGATCAACTCGTTCAGTTGAACTGAGCTAGCTGAGAGGGTTGGCTTGCCTGTGCCTGTACATGAGACTGAGCCGAGATTAAACCCTAGGGATCGACTCGTTCAGGTAAACCCCAGTAGACACTTGTTGTGCACACTTGAACTAACTAATAGTTTGTTTGGGTGTATGGGCATAGATTAGGCTGGTCCTTCACAAGATATCTCTATTCACTAATCAAACCCATTGTGATCCTTGCTTAAAATGAGATGGGAGTCACTAGGTGTTTCCCTGCAATTAAACATTCACACTCCTGATGGTGATTACCAGACTGGTAGCCAAGTTCTGGCCATATATGCAGAGTAACTGAGCTCATTACTTTCCTCTGGGCAAGTTCACTGGCATTGGGCTGCATACACAGGAGATAGTCGATTGCTGCAGACAGGAGCAGCAAGAGTGTCAAGGACGGCTGTAGACAGGAACAGTGTGAAGGATAAGAGCATCCGACATCCAAGTGAACGTCACGCAAGGGTGGATCAGGTCCTAGGTTGCCGCTTTTGGACGATATGGCGGTGCTGTAGACACCTTGCGTACGTTGCATAACTGACTTTTGTCTGTTGTGGTAACATGGGTGCAGATGAGGCACGCCTCCTCAGGAATATGAATACAATGGATCACGACATACACAATGCTCTTCATCTACCCTTATTTCGAGGGTATCAAGAACTAGCACTACTGGTTACTTTGTGTAACAACAGATATGTATAGAGCAGATCTTTGTTTCAGGCAATACCAATCAGCTATGTCATATAACTGCGTTTTTCTATTCTATCACTTGCTCAGAAGCATATAAAACATGACTTGATCATGCTTGTACCCACCCACCCTACCTGACAAGTATCACTCAAACTGGTAGAATCAGGTTGTGTCGTGATGCTTTGTGTTGTTATTTTTGAGCTGACATGAACTTGCAAGATGAGAATAAACCAAGCACAGTAAGTAAGAGCCCAGTAATGGGGTGTAATGTGCTACGCTATCTCTCTCTCCAATGCTGCCAAGCGGGAGGAAAATCGGGGTGTCAAGCAAGTAGATGTAAGGATTAGTCTTTGCAAGGATTATATTGACTTCTTGCTCTAAACTTTACTAAGATTTGACCTTCTGCGGAAATGACTACTTGAGTACGGAAAGAAGTGTGCTTCTGTTTGCGCTAAGGTGCGAAGGACCTCATCTCATGGCGCTGTATTTTTAGGTTGTGAATGATCGTAATTTACGTTTCACTGAGTACGCATTTTCAATGATTCAGTCTGTAGTGGTGCTGAGTTCGGGAGGTAATGCTGCCGTAACAAGCAAGCGTGAGGCATATGAGAGATTTGAAGAAGTAGGACTTCAAGTTTAGTGTTCTAGTTATGTTACAATCTTTGTGTGTTCACTGAATTCTGTATCCAAGTGCATGCTTGCATACATATTAATACCTTACTCCTATGACCAAGCTTATTTAGGGTTCCTGTATTTCTAATGTTGCATTGGAGAACTTCAGAACTCGAGGATGATCATTAGGAGCCCGTCTGACAGAGGCGAACTCGATTCTTTTGTAGCATGTGCAGTGAAGGCGGATGATTGAAGTGGTTTTTTGGCCAATAAATGTATCAAGAAGAAAGGTGATGGCCCTAATGGGCCGTTTTCGGCACTATCTCTCACACGGATGTGGGAGTTCGCCGAGCCGGGCGAGGCTAGGTAGCTTCCCACTGGGCCCCCACTCTGCTCCCTGCCCAGACTCCGCCCCTAATACATCCTCCGTCCAGCTAGCTCCTCCCCCCGCCTAGCTGGCTCCCTCAAACCTCTTCTTCTTTTTCACACCTTCCTGTTCCAACCTTTTTCTTCTTCGTCCTCCAAGTGCTGCCATACAGAGTTTGAGAGTGTATACATGTTATGGTTAGGTTTCATTCTATTTATTTATTTTCTTCCCTTTTATTTCAGCTAATGGAATAGAATTTCATTGTAAGAAAAAGAATATATTTTAAGATTAAATATCAATGTATGAATATGAAAATTGCACTTGGAAGTGAAAATAATGCAATGGTCATTTTTCATTTGAAAAAGCAATTTGAGTACTCTTATCAATAATAAATAAATAATATTAAAGCATAATCAATAACAAGGCATTCAATACAAAATTGTACACACCACTCTTTATTGCAAAGGCAATTGGTGATTACAATTGCAGCAAGATACAAATTTATCCTCTTTTTTTTATTAAGGTTTTTGTAACACATGTATCACAAGTGACCTAATGGATTTTGGGGAAGATTACTCTCTTCTGTTTTGAGATAGCCACTAACACATGAGGACGTATTGGTGGTGGCCTTGGAACACTTGATCTTTGTCAAAAAGGAGATGACATTGCTACTGAATTGCTACCTCAATCGCTCCCAGGCAAGGGATTTTAACTTCAGCAGTACGCTATGATCAGTCTATACAATTCCCCTCTTCCTAGGTCGTGCAAGAAAGTTCAATGATCCAGTGCCCGAATCTGACCCTGTGATGATTAAAAACACAGGCTCTGATTTTCCCTCGACCATAAAGACGATCAACAGACTCTTCAACCAGGACCTATCAGTTTCCTGCCACCTCCCGCAGCGCACAGAGCGATGGCTAACGAATCGCACGCTGAATCTTTTGGCATTCACTCTCTTGTGACAAATTCGTGATGTGAAGACAAGGTCAGACTCTTGTCACTCCGACGAGTCTCTCCCTGCTCCTCTTGCTGCAAAGCAGCTAAGGAATTACAGAAGGTGAGCAGGCGATGAAAAGAACACATCCGCTTCTAAACTCTCCTCCTAGTCGCTTTTCTCAAAGCTCAACCCTCTCCCCGGAATCAAACTGTCACATACCGGGCGATAACATTTTTCAAGACGCCAGACGGAATACCTACGCTTATGTGTCGACGAAAGATACCGGCTGTGTCTGCGCACTACTCCGAATGAGCCTCACAAGAATGCAGATCAACGCTCTCGGAGCTCCAAAACATCCGCCACTCACAAAACCGCGAAGATCAGCGGCAGATGCACAGCAGGAAGCACAGCCAGCGTCCCAATCACGTGATGCTTCGTATCTCCCTGCAAACAAGGTGGCAAAACCTCGAACTGCTGTGTTCTCATCGACGGGGCCGCAGTGCTGTCGTCCTATTGAAGACGAAATCCCTTGCCATTTGCCACTTGCAAAAGCCCACATTGCATGTAATTTATAATTTCAGAGTAATAATTTGTAATATCAGTTTGGCGATTTCCTAACGGGACTGAATCCAGTATGACAAGTACCCTTTCACAGATCACATTGTATGGAAATTTTACTGGAATTTTCCAAGGGGACTAAGTTCGTCAGTATGACAACTTACTTTCTCTGCTGAATGAACGTCGCAAGAAGCCGTACGATGTAAATCATACCATCATTCTCGTTCTGAATATATCAACGACCAAGAGGACTTCCAATGGAGACATGGACGGGCTAGTGAACATAATTCAAAACAAGTCACAAACCTGAAGAAATCTTTGCACCGATCGAGATGAACTACAAACTACACAGAACAATGCTCCCTCAAATGCTGCCACATGCAAACAAATCGGCAACGGAAAAACTCGCACTCACCGAACACTCTGAGATGCCTCACCGCCACCGTAGATCGAAGGTGTCGTGATCGCTGATGGGTCCCGGTATATCCAGTCAGCGAGCAATCTGTCGGGGCAGCTCGCCCTGTAGGCAGCCCCTCCGCCTCGTTCCCTAGCTCCGCACATCCCCGATTACCCTGTTCCCTTTTCCGCCTAAACCCTAAAGCCCTAAAAACTTAGTGGGCTATTCAGTTGACGGGAATTTTGGGTTTGAAATGTCCTCGATACCCCAGGTACTGTGTAGCTTGCAACCTTATCTTTGCCTTTTTGGCTCTTCCCAGCTTGGTCGTGATGATTTGACCTTGAGAGGCTCCCTCCAGTCATTGAGCCCTTTCGTTCTTCGGCAGCGGAGGAATCAGCGCTTGCATCTCGATCTTGTAGAGTTTGCGTTGATCTCATGCCCTTGAGCTCTCTTTGGCGACCGTCCCCTGGCAACTTTTTCTCTGAAGCGAAGTTGTTGTAGTTGTTTGACTTGTGCGTAAAGCTTCGAAGATCCTTGGTTTTAATTCTTCTAGGATCTTTCAGACGCCGTGCGCACAACAGGGCAACTGACAGGCTAGTATTTGAGTGGGATCAAGTCTGAGCGAGCGCTGTAGAGCGAATTGCTGGTAAATCTGACTTCAGGCTTCAATTGTTGGCCATGATGTCCGGTTGGTCCGTCGGCGGGCCACGAGAGGCGAAGCAAGTCGCCATCCGTGTTCCCTGAGAGGATTAGCTGTCGAGGGGAGTATGATTGTGCGTCGCAGCATGTTGTGAATTTGTCTGACCAGGGCCCCAGGGATTGCTGTGGGGACATCGAGAATTAGGTTGCGAGGTGGTGGCTAGGTTGTAGCGGAAGTTCTCCGTCCCTCTCTCTCTCAGGTAGTTTCCCCACTTTGCGGAGCGAGAAGCATTGTTTGTTCGGAAGGCTGGAAATTGTGGCGCTCCATGCAGTTGGAAGATTGAGTCGTTCACACGGGGGCCGGCATCTCTAGATTTGCGGAGGGTGTTTAGGATCTGCCCGGGATGTTTGGGTGCGAGTCTGTGCATCGGAAGCGAGTGCATAATTTCGTGCCCGAGCCATCACAGTTGAAAAGGTGCATTATGGAGGTGCACAGATATCGCAAGCGTACATCAGATTGCAGCAATTACATCAGCAGTTACATTGCTGTTGATAGCGAGCTGCACAATACTGTTGAAAGTACACGACTGGACGTACCTTTTGACATTGATGAATTGGAGGGGGATGACCAATGTACTATGAGAACGTATTGTGTGCAGCTGCTTCAAATACCTGTAATCGGTGAATATCGCAACAATATACATGTAGAGACTGCGAACACAGATTTAAACCGCAATGTAGAATGTGGTACGCCGACTTTTGTGGTGGATATATGGTCGAGTTGTGCGAAGGGGTTAATTGAAATAGTTAGAATAACAGACAAAGCTTACATTGCTGTCTCTTATTGTTGGGAACCGTGGGGAGAGCAATTTCGCATTGATGCAGAGAGATGTGCAGAAAGCAGGGCCTTGCACAAAGCACCGTCGTCCACGGTGCTTGAAGAACATCCTGGCTTAATATCGTCGCTTTCTAGAACATGTGACATATCAGGTTACATGAAGTTCCTAGGTCTGCTACTACGCACATGTACTGAACGATACGCTTGGATAGATGCCTTGTGCATACCACAATATAACTGGGGAGTGTTGACATCAGAATTAGGGCGCATGGGTCTTTATTATTCAAATTGTAACCTCTGCTTTGTTCTTATGGGAACGGAACAACACATAATTGCAGATGTAAAGACGGGGAGCATGCCTAAATGGTTTAGTCGAGCATGGACTTACCAAGAGCACATGCTTAGCAGCAGATGCTTTTATGCAATTGAACAACATCATGGCACATTTTTAGTGTCAGAGAATGCAGCATCTTTGTATGGTCACTTGATGCAGATATGTATATTGCAGAGAGATGCATGCTACGACCTGACGAATATTGAGATGACATGCATTGTGCACGCACTCCTCCTTGTGCATTACCAGCTAACATGCATGGAGCAAGGGCGTGGATGGGAGGTGACGGGTGTATTCTCTGAGATAGGGAACAGGAAATGTAAATTGATAAATGATAAGCTCAACTGCATATACGGGCTATTCGGCATCAGTGACATTTCTAGCTTGCCAGACGAATCCCTAGAGATAGCTGTTCAGAGATTTGTATATTCACTTCCTGCCACCACTGCAGCGAAACTGATCAACATCGATCCAAGGAGCAATAACTTCAAGGGCCTGTGCTGGTTTCCTCTGATTAGCAATGAGATGGACTTTTATGTAGCTGGACAGCTGCTAGATGATCTCACACTCCTGAGACACGTGAGTGTAACAGAAAAGGGCCTATCAGCCAGTGCCCCGTCCCTCATGTACATCGGGTATTCCAATGAAACAGAGGTGGATATCTTGGCAGACTACGGACCGCAATACGAACTTGTACCTGACAGATTGCAGCAGCTTATTCATGTAAAATCTTGCACAGGCGACTACTTTGGGGCCATCACTTACGATGTGGTGAAAATGCCCTGCACAATGTTTGGGATCATAACTGGAAAGACCCGCATTCAACCAGAAGATGACAAGAAGTGCGGGTATGTCATCACGGTGGTCGCTGAGCAAGTGCAGTGTCTGCCGCTTGACCTACAAACAGAAGCTGACTGCAAGTATGTGCGTAAGGTAGGCACACTAATGTTAGAACTAGATACATGTGTTGTTGGCTCATACTCAAGAGTGACGTTCATTTAGTCAGCCACTCATGATAATGCTTTACAAGAATGTCCAGATTTGGGAACCTTGTACTGTGCTCTCCGTTGTTTGCAAATTTGAAGCAAAGTAGTACATGCATTACAACAATCTTATAAAGTTTGTTTAATTTCTATGCTAAGTTCTAGCCATTTGTACGATATTCCTCTAAATTTGGTGCACGCAATATGTGATGGAACCTCAACGAAGTATCCACTAGCGAATTGTACCAACACATATCCTCCTCTTGCAGATATTCCACACCCTGGCAATATACCAGCACAAGGCGTCTCCATGGTTGTCCCAGATGCCATCATCATTTGGTACTAGGATATTGCAACTAATCTCACACACTTTGACGCCCAAAGTAAGCTTGTAGAAGAGACCATAAATATTACAGGTCTGTACTGAAGAAGGCATGCTGTTCAGGACAAGGCCGAATTTCTTTTTGTACACTAATATTGCATCACGGTCACGCAATGGCAGTGCCCCATATGCACTGTTGTCTTCTGACACTAAGATACTACATTGTAGTATGTGTGTTACCATCTGCCATACAGTAAAAGGTTGTGTGTTCATGTACCATTTAATATTTGGTGCAACAAGGACAAACTCCTCCAAGATCTTGCAACTGCCTTTGACAGGGAACGATTCAGTGCCTTCTGGTGCAGTCACAATTCTGAAAGGCTCCTTCATTTGCATATGATTGTACACCGAAAGTATCAAGGATTCTACATTCATCGTAGTGGCTGCATATCATTTCCGCGGTTTCTGTACATCCATAGCACCACGCAGGTGATTGAAAGCAAAACAGGGTCTTGAATGGTGCCAGCATCAAAATTCTTTCCCCAAAGCACAGCCTTCACAAAAGCTTGCAACGTCTTCTTAATGGCCGTCATGCTTGTGCGGAGATTATAAGGATTCTGTATCTGGATCAATCTACCCTTTGCAAATACACGATCTCCCTTGCACAGCATATTGTGGTATGAATCTTGTTCTTCATTCAGCACACAACTAGATTTAACGGTCTTCCATGCATCTTTACGATCTATATGCTCCAAGCTTGGGAGCCAAGTCTGTCCATGGACCAATTGAGGCCTCAGCGGGAGGACACAGATTCCACGCTTCACAAGGTCCTTCACGGCCTCCAGGAACACATCTTTGAATTTTCTTTTGTAACCCACATGAGCCATCTCTATACCCAAGAGAGCGCACACACCATAAACTCGATCGTTCATGTATTTGCAATTACGTTTGTTACGTCCCAACTGCTTAAAAACCGTATCTGCAGTGTAATCCAGGGTTTTTATCTGATATCTTCCCTTCATGTTATTATACCATTGCACATTAACAGGCCTCATAGAATCCACAATGTTGCCAACATTCTTGCACAGTCGTAGGGTGTCCATAACAGATGAAGTGCAGGGATGCGTAATTGTCACGTCAATCTCCATTGTCTCACCTTCAAACCCTAAAGTTAAAAATAACGGTAATATGGCCTCTTGCAACGTCGACACCCGCTTAAACCATGGCATTTTGCTCACAGTACGTGCCGCATCCTTTATCCCCTCCATAGTTTCAACGAATGGACAATTACGGGATGACGTACATTCCTGGCCCAATGTCCTCAAGTGAATAAGCAACTGAGTGAGACGACGCAGGGCAGTCAACTGCGCACGATAGTCTCCAGTCAACACTACGACAACATATTCTGCGGCTCCAAACATCTTATGCATGTTTCTGATTTGTGCATCCTTATCCGGTTCATCTTCAGGCCTTTGCTTGATGCACAAGCTATCTATCCACACATTGTCGTAAGCTCCTACTAGAGCTCTACATGTTTCAAGGGACCCGAAGCTAGATGTACAATCCAAACACACACGGAGATTGCTTGATCCGCTACAACTCCTGTTCCGAGCAATAGTTGCCAGAGGAGGATCACCAAGGAATCGAAGACAACGAGACTAGATCGACGCACTCCTTGCGCTCAGATAGAGAGGCAAGCGCTGCTCCTCCGCTACCGAAGAAGAATGGAAGGGAGTCTCAAGCTCAACCCATCAAGACGAATTCGTTGGAGCCAGCATTCCAGAGATGAGCTTGCAGGTGATAATGCAGTACTTACAGACTTATTTGCGACTGGTTATAAAATAATTAGTTATATGAGTTTGGAGCTAATGTCGATTTTGCACCTTGATGGAATGACCCTGCCTGGGGGGCAGAGCCCAACAAACTGGGCGGTGGTGGTAGAGAATTGTGGCCGGTGTAGAACGAAGGTAAAGACTAGTGATGGGTCAACACTATTTCAATGTAAACTACTATTGGATTTTGAGAGCAATACCCCCATCATTGGCAAAGACATGATGGTGTGGTGTAGTCTCCATGTACTGGACACCCATAAGAGCATTCCCAATGGTGATTGTTAATTTCCCTCATCTTTATTTTTGAAGAGAAATTCAAAGAAGCACTTCTTCAATGGCAAATTCCTTTCATGCCTTCTATACCTCTCATAAGCCACCTTTTGTATCACCATGTATTACCACAAGACAAACATGGCTGAAGTTAGCACAAGACAAAAATCCACATGATAGGGTTTACTTAATTTGGTCCAGTGCAAAAATAAGAAGAGTCTACAAGCCTTGAAGACTTGCTCTTTGTTTGGAGGGCTTCTTCTTCATTTTTCAAGTTTTCATCTATTTCCAAGTTTGAGAGGTATTCTGAGAGTTCCATTGGAGATGCTCAAAAGGATATATGAGAGGCATTGCATTTCCATGCGATGCCCCCTTGCTTCCATATCATGCTATGCCTAGGATTCATGAATATCTTGTTTATAAATCCAAGGTTAATATTTATAAATCTTAGAATTCTTTATCCATCTTGCAACATCCAATTGGTTTGAATATGTTTATAAGCTTCAATTTTTCAATTGATTTAAAGATGTTTTTTTTATAGATGCATATATGGACACTACTTGGCTGCCTTCAAAGAACCCAAATTCTTATTCTCTAAACTACTCTAACATGACATGAATGGAGAAAATTGGTATATTAATTGAATTACCTCTAATTTAACATTGAATTCAGAATGCATTTGTAGATAGCATTTATTTATTATCTTTATGAACTAATTAGAGACTCTTCTAATATTGTGGATTCTTGATGGTATTGTCTATACAATTGGCTAAAAATTGCATGTGAGTTTCTACATGCAGGTCATGACACAAATGCATCAATCAAGCATATTACAATGTAGTCACGAAAGGACATACAATTAATTATAAAAACATATATTGATTCATAATTCTTCATATTTGAGTGCTTGAAAGTGGTGCTTTAGTTTGTAATTGATTTTAATACTACCTTTGTCTAGTAATAAGTGACCACCTTTTTATTTTTATTAGATTAAAGAAATAAAACTACTTATTATAAAATAAAACCCATGAAGCTACAAATTACAACTTACAGAAACTTTATAAAGTTGGATCCAATTGAATAATCTTTCCAAGTCTAATCTATAAACATTGAGTTTTTGAACAATAAACTTTGGAGCACCAATTTGATATTAATAATAGAGATTTGAAGAATATTTTATAACTTTCTTGTAGTCATGTGAAAGGAGATTCCACCACATCAAAGAATGCATTATTTAGATAACATATGCAAAAGTTATGAAGGTTCAAAGTTTGAACTATGTTGGTAAATTTTAGAGGTAAATGTACTACTTTATGAGATGGACACTTCTTCCCAGTCACATCAATTACACTACATGGGTCACTTATTCCTTGACGGAGGTAGTAAGTGATATTTGACTATTCTACATATTCATTTGTCATTACTATGAAATGCTAAAGAACAAGAATTTTGGTTCTTCTAAGGCAGTTGCACAATCTCCATGCATGCATCTATGTGAAGTAGCTATAAATCAATTGAAAAATTGAAGTTTACATGCATCCTCGAGTGATGTGGATGCTGCAAGGTGACAAACGGACCTGTAGGATTCATGAAATACCTTGATATATTGGTCCAAGCTTAGCATAATATGTTGCCTGTAGTGAAGGTAATAGTTTATTTTTATTTTTCAAAATGGCACAATGAAAAACATTGCAGCAGAAAGAAAGAAAAAGTTCACACCAGAATTCCAATAGAACAAACACCAAACTAGCTTTCAACACCAAGAGGTTAAGCTCCCATTTAATAAAATGACCATCTTTGGTACAGAAAATATGTTTATTAGTCCATTGTTTGTCAAAACTATGGTCTTTCATTAATTTAGAGAGGATCCATCCTATTTCAAGGATCTTGTAGTTACATGCTTATTAGTGCATTTGAAAAAATGAGTGTTAACCCCTAAAATTCCTTGTGTTTTTTTGACAAAAGTATGTAGTTATTAATATAGTTGAAGAAAGCATTTTTCCAGAAAATAAAAACTCAAAAATTTACGAAATCAAGTGTAAGATCTTGAAGTTACCTTCTTAGACATCAACCTCAAAAAGTTACAGCTCTTCATTGTATGGGATCTACAAGATTATAACGTTTGAATGACAAAGTTTTTTCTTTTTGAATTTTTTTGACAGTAAACTTCTTCATTCCAAAATTCATAACAATTGGATATTGTGTCCAATTTTTTGAAGGTTTCGGATACCACTTCTAAATCTAGTTAATTATGCATTAATCAAATTTAGACATTTGATCAACATGTACGAGGGAGATATGAATATTTTACTAAATGTAGGTCTTACTAAAAAATTCCAACACTATAAAATTTGTAACTTTTTTGAAAAATATTCAAGATTTTAGTTTTGAATTTAAGTGGTCATATTGAAGTTTACATAATGTACAACCATGTGCAAAAAAAAGGTTTTGAAAAAGAGTGAAAATCCAAGATTTTATAGATGAAACAAACTTATTATTTGGATCCTTGCACACCAGCCCTTGGGCAATATTTGCCACATGGCTGCATCTAAGAACTCTTGAAGAAAATACAAAAAATTCAATAATCGAACATTGAATTATTCCCTCTTCATACAATATCGGATCTGGGCGTGCTTGGTGTTGCCAGAAAGTTAAAAAAAAAATGTAGTTCAATTGTGGTGGCGGAATTATTTTTTTAATCAAACTTCATTTTTGTACTTCAAGGTACCCAAACAACAAATGACCTTGGTGTCAAGGAATTTTAGGAATTAAGGTGGGAGCACTCATTCCCAATGGTGTACAAGAATCCAATGCAATTGGTTTCAAAATGCATTTTTCATGTTTTTTTTATCAAACAATGGTTGGTTGGTTTTGAGAAGGTAATGTATACTTTGTTGTGGATTGTTTGGAGGCCAAGCTTGTTGGTTTTAGGTGCATATTTACTTTTCAGTTTGACCATTAATTAGATCCAATTGATAATTGTGTTCACCAAATGTTGCACATCATTCCTCATCATTTTCATTTCCCTATTAAGTTTTTAAATAAACTTAAAAATCATAGGTCCAAATGTGAGAATTTCCTTGAAGTGTTGGTTATAGGTGAGGCCACCTTACATTCTCCTAGGTTTAGCGAGAAAAACTAATTGGCATGGAATTTATCCCAAGCAAGTGTGAATTGTCCATGATATTTAAAAGTCAAACGCCTATGCCTGGTCCTCTTTAATGATTAGCAACTCTTGCCACGAGGTTTTCAAGGCGCTCTGAAGATAACAAGAAAGCTGAATGTCCGTCATC